CTTGGGCAGGACAGAGCTCGCAGACCACAAGGAATGTGAGAAAAGAAGAAAGGGAGAGAGAGAACAGGACAGAGCAGAACCTTTAGTTAACGGGGTGCGGGCAGGGGAGAGGCCAAGGCGAAGCTGGGAGGAGGCTGGGAAGGTGCCGAAAGTCATTCATCTAACTCGATGCTTCCAAGATAAAGGGGTCTCCCAGTTGCCCCCAGGTAGTTAGACAGGTCCTCAAGAGGTCAGGAGGAAAAAAATCAAAACAAACAAAAAAACTAACCTTTTGTCTAAATAGTACCCTGTCCCCTCTCCTGCCTGACAAAGCACAAGCGCGGACCTACACACCCTGCCAATCAGGTGACTTTTTGTTTTTCTCTTTGAAAATTTCCTCCTTGTGGTAAGCAAGACTTTCCTAAGAAAGATCTAGACCAGATTCTTCTGGCTGCAATTGCACCCCTGTTCCTCCCCCTTGGCCTGCATGTGTCGGTCTTCAAGATCTGTCTATGCCAGAAGCCTCAGAGGCAGAGAAGAGTGGGAGGGAGGGTGGCGGTGCACGCACTCTACCGGGCCCCTCCGCTCCTAGTCCCTACGATGCATGCCCCCATGGGGGCGTCAAGAAGCCCATTTAGCCCAGGGCTCTCAGCCTGGGCCAAGCAGTAGGCAGGGCCTGAGCAGGAACCCTAGAAAAGACGCAGTGCTGACTGTCCCGGTGCTCAGCACGCCCCCTCCACTCCCCCGCAACAGCTGGCCCTAGAAGATGTGTTAACCAATCCCTCACTCACAAGTACCAGCCCAGCGCACTAGCTGGTAATCACTTAAGCTGCAAAGCACTTACTTGCAGGGGCATGAGCATTTTAACTGAGACTGACACGTGAGGCCCCACGGAATCTAGCTCCAGAGTTGGTTTGGGGCTGAAGGAGATTTTGTTTGTCTGGGGGGATGGGGACTGTGATGAGAGCTGTCCAGAGCTAGCTAGGCAGGGGGAGACCAGGGCCCACCCTCAAGGTCACCCCGTGATAAACCTCCATTGCCATGGAAGTGTTCTCTGCCAGACCAGAGGATTGAGCTCTTTATGACATTTTGCCTTAGGGGTGGGAAGACTGAGGTTCAGAATTTAAACTTGAATCATTGATGAGACCAACCTCCTCCCACTCCTGGAAGGTCCCAGCAGAGGCCCACCACTGCCTTCCCAGGAGCTGTTGGAGCTCAGGAATATTCAGCCCGGGTGGTTGCAATAATATTCATTTTGAGCTGGGCCTGATCTGCAGAGTTGATGCTGACCACTCATAAAGCAAGAGACATTGCCAAAGTAGCTGGTTCTAGAGGGTTCGCATTCTGGCCAGGCCTCTCCTTAACACCTGTGTGATGTGGGGCAGATTTCTTAACGTCTCTGTGCCTCAGCTTCCTTATGCAGAATGGAGATAACAGCATTACCTTGCAGGGCCAGTCCACGCACGTACCATCTGCAGTACCTGGCTCAGAGTAAGTGCACGGCAGCAAGGCAGGATCACCACTGCCGCCCTTTTCCTTTTCTGCAAGCCAGTTTTCTGCTGCAGGACCCGCTCTGTCCTGCCAGTCCAGAGTCTTCTGTTGAGTAAGGTGCCCTGAGGAGGCACCGAGGTATCCAGGAAGAGATGGCCCAGTCGGGTACAGATCTCAGCTGGCTCCCCAAACCAGGCCCACCACCCCGTCATTTTCAATCATCCTATTCTCCATCCTGCTCTTTGCTATAGGGCGCATGTGCTCGCCGGAAAGACAGAGAGAGACAGAGAGATAGAAAGCGAGAAATCGCCCCCCGGGGGGATGGCCATGCTGCAATCCCTTCTCCTCCATTCTCCTCTCGGGATCTTGGGCATGCATGCACACGTACCCGGCGTGAGTTGAAGCCACTGGGTCCAGGACTTGAACCGTGGTCGACTACATGGGAGTCCAGCAACACAGCCATTACACTAACGATGCATGCCCCCATGGGGGCGTCAAGAAGCCCATTTAGCCCAGGGCTCTCAGCCTGGGCCAAGCAGTAGGCAGGGCCTGAGCAGGAACCCTAGAAAAGACGCAGTGCTGACTGTCCCGGTGCTCAGCACGCCCCCTCCACTCCCCCGCAACAGCTGGCCCTAGAAGATGTGTTAACCAATCCCTCACTCACAAGTACCAGCCCAGCGCACTAGCTGGTAATCACTTAAGCTGCAAAGCACTTACTTGCAGGGGCATGAGCATTTTAACTGAGACTGACACGTGAGGCCCCACGGAATCTAGCTCCAGAGTTGGTTTGGGGCTGAAGGAGATTTTGTTTGTCTGGGGGGATGGGGACTGTGATGAGAGCTGTCCAGAGCTAGCTAGGCAGGGGGAGACCAGGGCCCACCCTCAAGGTCACCCCGTGATAAACCTCCATTGCCATGGAAGTGTTCTCTGCCAGACCAGAGGATTGAGCTCTTTATGACATTTTGCCTTAGGGGTGGGAAGACTGAGGTTCAGAATTTAAACTTGAATCATTGATGAGACCAACCTCCTCCCACTCCTGGAAGGTCCCAGCAGAGGCCCACCACTGCCTTCCCAGGAGCTGTTGGAGCTCAGGAATATTCAGCCCGGGTGGTTGCAATAATATTCATTTTGAGCTGGGCCTGATCTGCAGAGTTGATGCTGACCACTCATAAAGCAAGAGACATTGCCAAAGTAGCTGGTTCTAGAGGGTTCGCATTCTGGCCAGGCCTCTCCTTAACACCTGTGTGATGTGGGGCAGATTTCTTAACGTCTCTGTGCCTCAGCTTCCTTATGCAGAATGGAGATAACAGCATTACCTTGCAGGGCCAGTCCACGCACGTACCATCTGCAGTACCTGGCTCAGAGTAAGTGCACGGCAGCAAGGCAGGATCACCACTGCCGCCCTTTTCCTTTTCTGCAAGCCAGTTTTCTGCTGCAGGACCCGCTCTGTCCTGCCAGTCCAGAGTCTTCTGTTGAGTAAGGTGCCCTGAGGAGGCACCGAGGTATCCAGGAAGAGATGGCCCAGTCGGGTACAGATCTCAGCTGGCTCCCCAAACCAGGCCCACCACCCCGTCATTTTCAATCATCCTATTCTCCATCCTGCTCTTTGCTATAGGGCGCATGTGCTCGCCGGAAAGACAGAGAGAGACAGAGAGATAGAAGGCGAGA